ATCCCTCTCGGCCATGTCCTGTGGCCGCCATTCCAGACCCACCTCCTCTCCTAGGCTCCTGCCAGAGAAGCCTCCAGTTTCAGCAAAACACTCCGACTATTATTAGGTGTGTCCTTGCCCCCAATTGCCCTGGCTCCAGTCCCATTCGCCACACTGTCTCCTTTCACTAGAACTCAGTCCTCAAGGCCAAGTTCAGATGTCCTCCGGCCTCCAGAAAGCATTTCTTTGCCACAAGCCTGCTCTAAGCGCCTCTGCTGTGGGCTCCCCGAGCCCTGCACTGGCTTTTATGGCCAAGGCTCCCTCTGCCCTCAGGGTCTGTGAGGCACCTGAGCACGAGGGTCCTCAACCACCTCTGTCCCCTGCATAAGCCACTTGGCTTGCCTCCCCACACCCTTGCCAAGACACTCCCACACCCACCACGAAAAAAGTGGCGCTTTTCCAGGCATTCTTTTAAGATTAAAGGAAATGGCTGTACTAGAAATTAGAGGAACAGAGAACTGCAGTTCAATGACTCTACGATTCCTTTCAAAATAACGCCATGAACCTTCAGAAACCAGTTCTCGGTACCATTTAAATACTGAGCGGAAGAATTAAACAACATAAAGATGCAACAGTCAACAACAAAATACACGGCCTCTGAAATGCACAAGCGTACGGAGAATTCAAAGGTTTCTGACAGTTGGTCATTATGACACTCCACCCTTCCACATGCCCTTTGATGCACTCGTTCTTTTGCTATTTCTCTTCACTTCTCAAGGGGGAAAATACCAGTCACTTTTCATTTGCTTGAATTCAGGTGTCTTGAATGCGATGGGTTTTGTTTTCTAAGAGCCGTTACAACACCTCTCTCATGTCTTTATGAGACAAGAGCCTGGAAACGTCAGCCCAGCTCAGGAGTGGCGAAGTGCTCCCTCAGAGGTTATAGAAATTCCCTCAAGGACTACGCCCCCTAGGTCCCACCAAAATGACAGATTTGAGCTCCAAAACCTGTGAATGACGTGGATGCATTAAACCTGCATGTTTATAAACCAGTGGATTTCATTCATTGAATGTCAGTAACTAGAGCCACTCACATCTGACGGCTAAAGCCAATGCTCCCTGGCAGCCATGCCAACAAGTGGCTGGTTTCCCAGCATGAGCCAGAAATGAATCGGCACTCACAGTAAGGTCCATCAAACTCCGCCCTGCCATCAATGACAATGCTATCTCATTGTGAAATATAGAAAGATAATTAGGAGCCAGTTGCGGCTGCTCACACCTGTCATCCCAGCACTTCGGGAGGCCGAGGTGAGAGGATTGCCTGAGCCCAGGGGTTCGAAACCAACCGGGGCAACTTGGCAAGACCTCGTCTCTACAATAAATGAAAAAATTAGCTGGGCATGGTGGCGTATGCCTGTGATTCCAACTACTTGGAAGGCTGAGGCGGAAGGATCCCCTAAGCCCAGTAGGTTGAGGCTGCAGTGGTCGTGAGCGTGCTACAGCCCTCCAGCCTGGGCGACAGAGTGAGACTTCAACTCAAAAAAAAAAAAAGAAAGAAAGAAACATAATTTGGGACATTTTTTGTGTCAAGTGCTCTGAAAATAGTCCCAGATGTGTACTTTTAACTCAATTATATGCACAAAAAGACCAGAACAAAGAGGTCAATGACCCCAAGAGGCATTTAAAAAAACAACTCGAACTCAGTTTTATTTCAGTGCGAAGCACCCAGACATGCGCCTTCTCAGGCCAGGAGCCAGCCGACCCCTCACCTCAGTCATCCTCTTAAGGGCTGCAGCACCTGCACAGATGCCACAGGGAGGAGCCGTGGCGAAGGCACCGCATGGCCACCAGCTCGGGCCAGTAAGTGGCTGAGGCAGACCTTGGTTTCCACTTGGCCACCACGGAGAAGCGGGCTCTGCATCACACCTTCTTTCAAACAAGGGTGTGAGGGAAGAGCGAGGAGCAGCCATGCCACCGGCCTCACAACCAGGGAAAAGCAGTTGCACCGCTCCGGGCCCCAAACCTCATTAAGTGCAAAACGCCAGCAGTATATCCCCTGGCTGGCCCACTCCCGCGTGAAACGCAGAGAAGTGGGTTTAAAATGCCGTGAGTGTTCTGCTAGGAAGCCTGCTGTTAGCAGCCTCGCCTGAAGAGACCAGACCCCTTCAAAGGTTCCACTGTGCCCAGGCCCATCTGCCCACACCCTCCACCACCAGTCGTTTCCTACTGGTTCCCCTCGCGTCCACATCCTTCCCAGCAAGTGCTCTAAGCACCATCAGATGCTCTTGACCTTATCCTTGTGCCCCTTCCTCTGTCGCAGGCATGCATCACGTGGCCCTGCCTCTGGGGGACATCTGAGGCTCCCCCACCCTGGCTACTCCGACATGGGAAACTCTATGAGATCTCTAATCAGTAAAGAACAAATCACGAAAGAACACACCTGGAATATAATTTTTTGAAAAAGCTAGTAACCACTCAAACTGGTAGTCTAGACTAATCTTGTACTAGAAGAAACTGAAAAGGTCCTTCTGTAAAGCAGTAACAGGAATGCTTCCAAACCCCAAAGCCCACTAAAACCTCCTCAGCGCTCTGACGGGAAGCACGTGAACACGTGCAAACATGGACAGCATCTTTGCGTAGATATACATACTCAAGTGAAATAGACCGAGAGGAACTCATGAAAAGGTTTCTGTCTGGTGACCTTGTGACCAATTTTGACTTTCTTCACGTTTTCTGTGTTTTTCAACATCCCTACTATATGTACTAGTTTCCTAAACAACAAATTGTTGCTGGGCGCAGTGGCTCCAGCCTGAAATCTCGGCACTTTGGGAGGCAGCGGTGAGAGGATTGCCTGAGCCCGGGGGTTCGAGACCAGCCTGGGCAACTTGGCAGGGCCTCGTCTCTAAGACAAATCGAAAGCTTAATCAGGGGTGGTGGTCTGCACCTGTAGTTCCAGCTACTTGGAAGGCTGAGATGGAATGATTGCCTGAGTCCAGCAGGTTGAGGCTGTGGTGGCCCTGAGCTGTGAGTGTGCCACTGCACGCCAGGCTGGGCAACAAAGTGAGACCACGACTCAAAAACAAAATTCGTCACGACAATAAAACAAAAAAGTTAGCCGGGTGTAGTGTCACATGTCTGTAGTTCCAGCTACTTGGAAGGCTGAGGCGAAAGGATTGCCTGAGCCCAGCAGGTCAAGGCTACGGTGGCCGTGAGTGTGCCACTACACTCCAGCCTAGGTGACAGAGTGAGATTCCAACTCAAAAAAAAGCAAAAAATTGTCAACATAAAGGTTACTTATACTAAGGAGAACTCTAAAGAAAAAGGGAAGAAGCTAATTTTTCTTTTTTAACTTTTTATTTTTCATTTTTCAAATATGTACTTATTTAAATGCCAGTTTATCACCTAACTTCAATTACAAATATTTTGCCAATCTTCATCTTTATCTATTCTATTTTATTGTCAAATATGTAACGAACAAATCCCTCATGTTACTTCACCCATACACATACTTCAAGGTACACCTTGAATTGATAAGTTTTGTATATGACCATCATGCCACCATTACATCTAATAGGACACAGGTAATTCTACAATATCATCTCATTCTCAGTATATTTTCTTTTTTTTTTTTTTGAGTCAGAGTCTCACTCTGTCACCCAGGCTGGAGTTCAGTGCCACACTCATGGCCACCATAGCTTTGACCTGCTGGGCTCAGATGATCTTTCCTCCTCAGCCTTCCAAATAGCTGGAATTACAGGAACATGCTACCATACCCAGCTAATTTTTTCATTTATTGTAGAGACAAGATCTCGCCAAGTTGCCCAGGCTGGTCTCAAACCTGCAGGCCCAAGCAATCCTCTTGCCTCAGCCTCCAAAAGGGCTAGAATTACAGGCTTGAGCCACCGTGCCTGGACACAGCTAACTTTTTTTCTTTTTAATTTTTTTTAGAGATAGAGGATCACAATGTTACCCAGGCTAGTCTCAAACTTCTCAAGGGGATTCTCCTACCTTATCCTCCTACTTTTTTTAAATAATTAAGTGCAAAAAACTTGAAGAATACATCTAAAATACTGTTTTTCCTTTAAGGTGGCAGTATGATGGATAAAAGTTCCTATTTTTCAAACATTTTATAATATAGCTTCGCTTAAAAGAATGTTTTCAATACAACATAAAGATCAGTCAGAGCCAGGCTCGGTGGCTCAGCCTGTAATCCTGCGCCTTTGGGAGGCTGAGGTGAGTGGATTGCCTGAGCCCGCGGGTTCGAGACCCGCCTGGGCAAGCGAGATCTCATCTCTACAATAAAATCAAAAAATTAGCCAGGCGTGGTAGGGCGCGCCTGTAATTCTGGCTACTCGGAAGGCTGAGGTGGAGGGATTGCCGGAGCCCAGCAGGTCGAGGCTGCGGTGGCTGGGAGTGGCCACCGCACTCCAGTCTGGACGACAGAGTGAGACTCCAACTCAAAAACAAACAAACAAACAAACAAACAAAAGATCAGTCAGGCCAGGTCCAGTGGCTCAACCCGACAATCCCCGCACTTTGGGAGGCTGAGGCAAGAGGACTGCCTGAGCCCGTGGATTCGAGACCAGCCTGGGCAACATGGTGAGATCTCGTCTTTACAATATATCAAAAAAATTAGTCACAAGCGCCTGTAGTTCTGGCTACTTGAAAGGCTGAACTGGAAGGGTCACCTGAGCCCAGCAGGTCAAGGCTGCAGTGATCACGAACGTGCCACTGCACTTCAGCCTAGGCGACAAAGTGAGACTCTGACTCAAAAAAAAAAAAAGTCAGCCAGGGAATCACAGGCTGTGCTACAGATGAGCAGTCTCAGGAATCTGCACCCTTAGCTGGCTTCAATCTGCAAAATGCCAGCAGCACAATCACTCCAAGGGAACCGCTGTTTCTTCCTATGCTTTGAGGGACTGTGGATCTCTCGAAAGCCCAACAGCCCAGCACTTCTCAACTGCCCAAAAGGGTAACCAGAACTGTCACAGCTAGGGATGCGATCGTGGCTGTGGGAGTACCTCATCGTAAATGCTCCCGTTGATGTCCGCGCCGTAGATGGGAGCCACGAACGTCAGGTTCTTCCAGTACTTGCGCTCCAAATCTTCATAGTCCAAATATCTTGGCGTGCAGTACCTGCAAACAGGAGACAAGGGAATACTCGCCAGTCAGAAGGCTGCAAGGCTCTTTTGCCCATCTACATCAGTTGGAGGACTTTCTAAACAAAATCCTGCCGAAATGAACACACTGCAGACACCCATGTTGTTTAATCTAACACGTCAACGTACAGAGTTAACATATGGGCTGAGGCATGAGTTCGTAGCCTTTGGTCTTTGGCATGGCAACTCTGTGGTGTGGGGAGTCTGTGGACCCTTTGTCACTGGTTGTTTGGAGTGACAATGCTGTGCTTGTGAATACGCCTTGCATTTTGCAGACCCGAAGAAAGTTCGTGCTACTTGTGACCTAAAGGAGATGGAGTGTCAAGTGGAAAAAACAAATGCTTTCGACACATTCTTCTGTTTACCAGAGAAGAGACAACAGAGGCAGCTCAAGTCATCTGTGCCATGTGGGAAAGAAGGCCATCAGGAATGACGAGAAAACGGCTTTGTCGTTTTGGAGTCTCACGCCGTGGCCCAGGCTGGAGGGCAGGGGCACGCTCGCGGCCACTGCAGCCTCGACCTGCTGGGCTCAGGCAATCCTTCCGCCTCAGCCTTCCAAGTAGCTGGAAATTACAGGGTGCACAACCATGCCCAGCTAATTTTTTGATTCATGTAGAGACGAGGTCTTGCCAAGTTGCCCAGGATGGTCTCAAACCCTGGGCTCAGGCAGTCCTCTCACTTAGGCCTCCCAAAGTGCTGGGATTATACGCTTGAGTCACCACACCCAGCAGCTGAATGTATTCTTAAATCTATATTATCACTTTATATTTTCTTTTTTTTTGGAGTCGGAGTCTCACACTGTCGCCCAGACTAGAGTGCAGTGGCCGCTCCCAGCCACCGCAGCCTCGACCTGCTGGGCATTCCTTCCGCCTCAGCCTTCCAAGTAGCTGGAATTACAGGCATGCGCTACCACGCC